CAAGGCCCTATGTGAGCCAAATTCCTGTCGAAATCATTCTTTCCGACACTATTTATTTCACCCAGGTAGTAACTCTGGTCTACTTCAATGTTCTCCACAATGCCATCTGGGCGCCACATTATGACCCTTTGGTGCATCGAAGATGGCACTGCTCCAATGCCATGTATCTACTCTCGACCAAGGAGTAGATTGTAGTTGGGCTTTGCTGAAATAACCATGAACATGTTGGTTCGAAGGATTGAGCCCACTTTGAGGTCGAGTTGAATGACACCCATTGTGGTGCCAATGCCCCCTTCATAGTTGGATAAGACCATGTTGTGTGGCTTTATGTCGGCATCTCCTTTGCCTAACTTTTCCAGCATGAATTGTGGTATGATATTAATGGTTGCCCCATAATCAACCAGAATTTTGTTTATGGTTACCTCCCCAACTTTAGCTCTAATGAACAGTGGTTTCAGATGGCTCTTCATTGCCTCTGTTGGGGGTTCAAAGAATGCGTTTTGTTCTTCCATGCATCCATTGTTCATTATATAATAACATACTGGCTTATGTCTAGCCAGTTCCTGTTCAACCATTAGGTCAGTCTCTTCGACTTCGACCTCTCGGTTATATTCTTTGGGCAGCACATATATGACATTCACCATGATGTCCAAACTGTCACTAGAGTCGGAGTCATCATCATTTAACCCACACTCTTCCTCCCAGGGCATAGGATTTCTCTCCAGAGGTTTCCTTTGTCTTTTATGCACATTGGTGCTTACTTCTGGATGAGGCCCAGCTGCCTCTTTCTCAGCCTTTCATCGTCTTTGAAACCTCCTCCATTGTGAACGAGACATATGATTCTTTCCTTTATAGTTGCTCGACACATGGGTCATTTTGTTCGATGCAGAGGCATGGTATTCCTTTCTGTAATCTAGAGAGGAACCTCTTGGTACGTCGAATGTCTGCCACCTTTCTTCATTTGGCCGTTTTCTTCCCATGGTATTCAGCCAGGTATCAGTAGGCACATTAGTTGGAGGCCTAAAAGTTGGTGGCCTCCTTTCTTGAGTCATGGGTCTTTGTTGATGTTCCCTTCTGGGGTCAAATCGAATTTCTGGACCCATTCTTTGTTGGGCATTGGTACCCTATTTTACTTTTACAGTCCGCATCACCTGTATGTGTTTAGCGGCCTTTTTATAAAAAATAGAGCTACACCTAGGGCATAGCATAACCTCTGATTTCTTCTTTTGACATCTATGCAAAAAATCTGCCAAATTTTCATCTACCTTTGGGAATGCAGTTTTGTTTACCTCCTCTTGTCGAAGGGTTTCCTCTGAAACTCTGGCTCCAGAGACTTCGACCACATTAACCTGCAAGTTGCTTTTGGCAGTCAGGTTCATCTTCTGCATTTTGGCCTCCAAGGCTTTTGTCGAACCCTTTGCAGCATCCAAATAAGAACCTGTGATGGTTCTTTTGCTGGAGCTTTCAGCAACTCCTTTGATCAGTTTCAGGCCAACAGCAGCCTTTTTGTTTGACGCTTGGTCAACTTCTTTTTTCGAATCCAGGCCTTCAGTGGCCTTTCTCACCCCTTCGATTGTTTTCTTGGAGATGTTCCCAGTGAAACTTCCGAAGATGGGTTTTGTGATGAAATCTTCAGACACTTCTACCATATGAATGCCAACTGGTTCGACATAATGAACTTCTGCTTGTAGTGGGTTTGTGTCGATTTTCATTGTTGGTTTATCAGCAAATTTCAGCCTCCCTTCATTCAGTGCATGTTGAACGAGATCCCTGAAAAGGAAACATTGTGAGGTTTGATGTCCTAAAAAATTATGATATTTACAAAAACCTCTTTTCTTTCTCTGTTCTAAAGGAGGCAATTTGGCCCCTGGGGGCACTATCATCTGTCCATCTTTAACTAATAGATCGAATATTTTGTCACACTTGGATATGTCGAAACTATAAGTTTTCTTAGGAAATTTATCACTGTTTTTCTCAGGTTCCACAGGATTTTTTCCATTTGATGGCACCAACAATTTACAAGCATATGGTGGTCCATGTTTTAATTCAGCTAAATCAATTTTGCCTTCTTCGATATCTATAGGATCGTTGTATGTCTCTGGATTGTCATCATCCATTTCGACATAAGCTACCCTTTCTCGTCGAAGAGTTTTAGCAGTTTTGGCCTTTTCAGCCTTAAGGCGTTCTACTTGTCGAACCCTATCAGCAAGTTGGGCCATATCCCTTAAGTATTGTGTATCCAACTTTTTCCTAATCGAATAATCCAGGCCACCTGCTGCTATTTCAACTAATCCATGCTCAGGTACTTGGGTAAAGCATCTGGCTTTGAGTAGTCGAAATCTATTTAGATATTCATCAATTGGCTCTGTGAACCTTCTTTTTACACTAGCCAATTCTTTTAGACTTATCTTGGTTTGACCCATGTAAAATTGTTCATGGAACAATCTTTCTAATTGGTTCCAGTTGTGGATCGAATTGGCTGGGAGGGTAGTGAACCAAGTAAAAGCATTTTTAGTTAAGGAACTTGGGAAGTATTTGATTCTAAGGTTTTCATTGTTTGCTATTTCTCCCGCCTCTATCAAATACATAGCCACATGTTCGACAGTCGACTCTGTCGTATCCCCCGAAAATTTAGTGAATTTTGGGACTTTTCCCCTAGGTGGTAAGTCTGTTTGCAGAATATATTCTGACAATGGGGATGTAAAGTTTGGTCTATGGAAACCAACATTCATCCCATTTTGAAGCATGATTCTCTCGATCATAGCGGTTAAATTATTATCCGCACCATAGTTCTGGTGTCGAACTTGTTATATTAATTCGTCAGCATTTTGATTTCTATTAGCCAGAATAACGCCCTGATCGATTTCTCGATGGTTTCGAGGTATCTCTAATCTTGGTTGTTCTACTTAGACCCTTGGAACTTGGGGGGTTTGGATTAATGGTCAAATCTTCTTCCATGATTACCCCTTGATTTAATCTTATTGGTACCCTCTGGGGTTGTCGAACAACTTGGGGTAGTTGAGCAACTTGAGGCACCCCAAAGAATTCAGCCATGCGTGTTATTTGCACTGTCATTTGTTGATTCAACTGTGTGGCAGTCTGAATGAGGGGATTTAGTACTATACTTAGAGTTTGTGCTAACATTTGTACCATTTCATGGTTACTTTTGTCCATCTGTTGCCTCAAAATTGCTGTCGAAGCATTTGTGAGACTTGGTATCATATGAGATGGCCCTCCTAAAAATTGGTTTCTACTGGCTCCAGATCCGTGTAATGGTGATGTGGCATTTACCAAAGGTTCTGAGAAAGTAGACGCAGCATTCATAAGGCTAGCCATTTCAGTAGTTGGCATGCCATATGGCTGTTCTCGATCTATCCAGGTTATCGAAAAGCCTGGGGGTACAGTTGATCGAGACCCTAGGTTCATCCTTGGTGGGGGTGTTCCTAAAGGACCTCTTGGACCCATATACGTAAGTAAGGGTCCAGTTTGATTCATGGTTAACGCTGGTATGGATCCGACAGAAATTGGGATATTCCCTTCGACAACAGTAGTAACTGTTGTTCCTGTGATCGGTGGAGGTATTTCTCCATGATTTGACTCATTAGCCATACTACTCTCTCCACTTTCTTTCCTAACAGTATATTTGTTGGTTATTCTACCACTTCGTAATAACATGCAATGTTATAACTGTACAGGAAAAAAACACAATAACATAGACAATTAGCAACATCCCACCAGGTGTGCCAATTTGTTTACCGTTGTTTTTGGTAAACAACCGCTGGTCTCCAAAAAAGGTAAGTTTTTTGGTTTACTTGCGGGATCGACCAAACTAATCCCAGAACATATGCTAATCTTTATATAAAATGAGTGAGAAGGAAGAACGCACGTTCGACCCAGGGGAGAGATGTTTAAGATTGTTGAACATTAAATGAAAGCATAAAAATGCAAGTAAAAGAAGTAAAAGAAGTAAAAGGTAACTTTGCAAGATAATGGTAAAGTAAAGTAAAAAGACTTTTATTAAGTAAAAAAGGTGTTTCTAACGTACATTGCTCTGCTTTTTATCCTTTCTCACGCAGTAGTTACTTGGATAATATTTGAGAGATTTAGTACTATCTGTTGAACACACTAAAAATTACACAAACTTCTTAATTTATACTAAAAATAGGTAACCGTCGAGGGGACATTCTGCGCTAGGATGAAGACAAGTGTCTCCTGCATGCCTCTCGACCCATAGCTTTTTGCCACGTTTCCTTCCCTTAGACGCTGATGAAAAACCACCTTTCCCTTCAATAATTCAAATTTCAAAATGGTCTTCGTCCCATGTGCCAAGGCGCGAACACTTCCCTTCAGTCGAACAACCTACATCTGCCTCGGTCGAATGAACCTTTGGTCGAAGCTTCTTATTATATCTTGGATCCTTTTCCTTAAATTATCTCATGCGTCGAATTACACCTCCTGGTGTAGTTCATTTCCAGTTGTTTGGTCAAAGAGACCAAATATAGCAAGTGTCGAATTTGGGAGCCAACACCCCTATAACTTAAAAAAGAATACATTAGATAACTTTTCGGATATGTATATCCGAAAACACTTTTTTTTTTCGTAAAAAATCCGAAAATACATTTTTTGTTAAAAATAAGATAATTTCGTATGTGCATCTCCGAAATTAATTTTTTTTGTGAAAAATAATGTGTTCAAAAATATATCTCTAAAAATAAAAGATATTTTTATCATTTCGTCAAAAAAGGATGAATAAGAAATTGTCTAATTTGTTCTAAACTTAAGTTGCACTATTTGGGCCGCGGAGAGAATGGGTCGAGGATGGTTCGTGGAAAGAGCCCAATAACTTCAAAAATTGAAATTACAACGAAACCCCCAACTCCTCGAGTGATGAAGACCCCAACAACGCTCTGAATTATTCTCTCTTTTCATCGCTATTTCTATTCGAAAGAAAATTCCCAAATTGTGCAAGAAAATTCAAAACCCTAGTGCGATAATCAACCATGGGAAACACAGAAAAGCTTCTGAATCAAATCATGGAATTGAAATTCACCTCGAAATCGCTTCAACGCCAAGCAAGAAAGTGCGAAAAGGAAGAGAAATCAGAGAAACTCAAAGTAAAGAAAGCAATCGAAAAAGGAAACATGGACGGCGCACGGATCTATGCCGAAAACGCGATCCGAAAACGAACGGAGCAGATGAACTACCTCCGATTATCCTCCCGACTCGACGCCGTCAGCGCTCGTCTCGATACGCAGGCGAAGATGTCGACGATCAGCAAATCGATGGGGAACATCGTGAAATCGTTGGAATCTTCTCTCGCTACCGGAAATTTACAGAAGATGTCGGAGACGATGGATCAGTTCGAGAAACAGTTTGTGAACATGGAGGTGCAGGCGGAGTTTATGGAGAGTGCTATGGCTGGATCCACCTCGCTTTCCACGCCGGAAGGTGAGGTTAACAGTTTGATGCAACAGGTTGCTGATGATTATGGACTTGAGGTGTCGGTTGGGCTTCCTCAGCCTGCTGCTCATGCTGTTCCGCTTAAGGAGAAGGATGCTGAGAAGGTTGATGAGGATGATTTGTCGAGGCGGCTCGCCGAGCTTAAAGCTAGAGGTTAATGTTCCTCTTGTTTTCTCGTTGAAGAATGATGATACACTCTGGTTATATAGTATTGTTATTACGTTGCTATTTTATGCTTTATGGAGTGGTTTTGTGTATATTTAACTGAATTTGGATGTTTAGCTTTAACATTAAGCGAGATTGTTATGATTATGTGTTGACATTGATAATATGTTTATATTTGATTGTCTTCATTCTTATGCTTACTTTGGTGGTAATGAATGCTTGTTGTTTTCTTTTGTTGTATATTGGAATATATATTTAGTAACTCATTGGTGGTGATGAATCCTTTCTATGTTAGCTTTGCTATGCATAGTCCCAAGCCTGGATAAAAGGAGAGGGTTGTGTTAGGTTGTCGACAACTAACGTTAAACTTTGTCGAATTTCTATGACATAGATTAACTACGAAATAATCCATGCCGATCCCACTTAGTGGGATAAGACTTGGTTGTTGTTGTTTTTGTTATGTTGATGAGGGAGAAGGAGTGAAGTTGGGTAAAGCTATGTAATGAGAATGCCTAGATTGGTTAGGTTACGAAGTTGTGAACCTTATGCCGGTGACTAACTTAATTGAGGCTAATCATATTTTGAGCTTTCCTTAAGAAGTGGACGACTTTCACATAAGAGCCTGGTTCCTGTTAATTTTTGTTAATTTTGTTCCGAAGGTGGCAAAGTTTCTTTTGGGGTCAAAATTTTGTTGCAGTTATAGTGCTCTAATCAATCCATTGGAGCTAGGTGCAATCATATGTTTGTCAAGTGTTTTTCCAGCCTTATGTAATGGCGATTTGCATTTGGAAAATAAAGCTTACAGTACCTTTATTCTTTGTGGGTTATATTATATCCATGGTCACCCTAGTTGAGAGACCATTCCGTCAGTGTTTTGATGGTGCTCGAGGTCTCCTTGCTGTGATTTTCCCAACAATTTAATTTGGTGTTATTTCCGTAATAGCCTTAACTACAATGATCTTAAACATAGAAGTTGAATTCCTTTGATTTATAAAGAGACTTGGTTTTGAGTTTAAAATCCAGGAAAACACTTATAGGTAAATATCCAACAAATTAGGAAGTTCTTATAGGCTTTCACTATTAAGTAACTTGATTGTTGAGCCTATGTGAAACATCTATTTAGAGCTAAGGGGTGTAGAATTGGGTTTATAACTGGAAGGATGGAAATGCAATACCTTCAATGCACAGATATATAAGGCTGCATCAATGGCGTGCATAAGATTGATCCCCTTGACTACCATGAGTGGCATTTACAGTTCTGATAATGTAAATAGTGTCTGCCTTTTGGATTTCAAAGCGTATAGCAATTCCTTTTGCTCTGAGGAAAGCTTCTCACAGTTCCGAACACTATTGCAGAGTTTCAGAAATGATCTTTATGGTGAAGTTTTTTGCTTGTGTTGAGTGTCTTGTGTAAATTAATGAATTTTATCATTAGTATCAACAATGCCATTGGGCAACCTCTTGAGATAGCGTTCTAATGGGTCTAAAGTTATTGAAACAAAGCTCTGATATCAGAAGAATTTTGGATAGAACAGTAAACACTAGTGCTTTATTTAACCCATTAAAAATTTTCATTTAAATTACAAACTATTACTCAATTTGTTTCTAGCTCAACATCTAACTTCCATTTCCTCCTCCCTGGTTTGTTATGCATATACTCGAAGGGAGAAAAAAAACCTAATTACATGGTTATGCAATCTTAGAAACGTCATATTGTTCTCTATAATTACATGGTTATGCAATCTTAGAAACGTTATATTGTTCTCTATAATTACATGGTTATGCAATCCTAGAAACGTTATATTGTTCTCTATAATTAGATGGGAATTGCCTGGGTTCTCCCACACTACCGTGGAAAGACTAAAATGTCTCCAGCATCTCGAGATGGTGAGAAATGCCACCTTCGGAACAATTTTTTCATGCACAACAGAAGTAAAAATAGTGAGAAATTCTTATTTTATAAATAAAATTAATCTGGAAATGCATCTCCATATGCACGAAAAGTTGATTTGGAGATGCATCTCTAAAATGCTCCTTAGTTTATTAGTATCTCTAAAATGCTCCTTAGTTTATTAGTCGGTGAGTGTTTTAGATATGTATATTTAGAGTATGCTTTGTTAGATTTAAGGGTGGCAGAGTAGGGGGCGGGGCGGGCCAACTTAAGCATCCGAGTTCAAAAGTCAAGTTTGTTCTGTTTACTAACGAGGTGGCGTGTTGGCGGACCTGCACACCAATTTTTTTGTTTTTTATTTACAGTTGAATTTATTACATAATTTTAAAAAAATTAATCATTATCAAAGAGGCCGACAAAAGATATTTTTTAACCATGCATAATAGAATTTCAACATGTTCTAAATCTAAATAATTCAAAAATAAAATAAATAAAGACCAATCATAAGAAAAACATAGTGAAATAGACTTAAATACAATTATTTTTAATCAAAATGAATAAATAAACAACACGTATCATTAACCTATTTAAAAACTAACGGCTAAAAGAATTCGATTGGTATTTTGTACAAGACAATTACTGGGCATAAAATAGTGGGACAGAGAATATAAACACTTAATTTTCTAAGTGTTTATATCATATACTCTTGTATTGATTGATTTTTTAATAATTATGTCATGAATTTGTCATTAGTAAACACTAATTAAATCTCTTTTTCTTAAAATCAACATTTGTTTCTAAAGAAAACATGTCAGTTAATGTAACGGTAACTTAATAATTTTTCATGTCATATAATTGTTCTTTTATTTTAAGTTTTTTTTATTAGAAAGTTATAAAAAGAATCTTATATATAATTCAATTTGACTGTATAATAATTTAGAATACAATTCAATTAACATAATTCTAAGAGAAGAGTGTTGTTTTGATGGTTAAAATTGTTTTAATTATAAGTAAAAAAATAAAGGCAAAATATTTATTTTGGTCCCTTAACTATGTCTTTGGGTTCAGATCACTTTGATCCCTTAACTTTCAAGACATTTCACTGTAGTCCTTTTTGTCTAATTAGCGACGGAAAAACTTTGAAATATGTCGCTAATTAAGCAAAAAGGACTAAAATGAAACGTTTTGAAAGTTAAGGGACCAAAGTGACACGGAAAAAAATTAAGGGACCATTATGAACTCAATGGTATAGTTAAGGGACCAATCAGAATCCAAAGGTATAGTTAGGGGATCAAAATGAGTATTTTTGCCAAAAATAAAATTTTTTAACAAATAGTTCGTAGGCAAAATCCGCTCTGTCCTGTCTTGACCCGTTTTTTTAAGCGGGTTAGGCGGGACGAGTCTACTTAAGGTACATAGCCAAAAACCTCAGTCCAACCTGTCAAAAATGGTGGATTAAACGGATCGGTCCAGTGGGTTCGACCTGTTTTGCCATCCTAGTTAGATCAAAGCAGAAATAGGTTGAAGCAACATTGGCATAATGAAATCGAATCAACTTAAACTAACTCCAAAATAAATATTACATAGATAAATTTTACATAAATTTAAGATTACATGTTATTAAAAATAGGTGGTTCAGAATGTTGCAACATTCTTATCGTCGGCTGATCTTTGAAGTCGCATCCAATTCAATTCAATTGGACCCTTTGTTGAGTAACGGAAAAAGGTACTCCACATCAACTTCAAATCATCATTTATCTTCAGTTCAAGCATTGTAAACAATATCTTTCCTTCGTTGTCTATCGAGAGTGAACGATATTCGAGCTTGACAACTCTCTGATTTTCTAGATAATACAGGAGAGTGTTTTCATATCAATGAGAAGTATGTCCTCACATATTCGAAATTGAAGCGAAGGTTTTGTGCCATTGAAATACACAAAAGCAATATGGGAATAGTACATATTCTGATTTGTGTAAAGAAAATGAATTGAGAGACCATATTTATAGAAGTTGTAGAACAATAAGGACCTTACATACATGATCATGTCTGCATTATATACTTTGGAGATACATCTCTTGATCTCCGTCTTATTTTTTTTTTTAAAAAGGGTTTTTTCGAAGAGCAACTCCGAATGATCCCCTGTTTTTTTAATTATTTAAGGAGTATTC